ACGGTTTTTACATGGATGGAGCACATCCAGTTAAGTACTCCGATGGTTGTTCGATCACTTGATGTTAATAAGGATCCATTCCGACCCCCAAGAAAAGAATGAAGAGCTACTTGGTCCTGAAGTACCATATCTTAGTGCAATTGGTGCACTAATGTATCTTGCAAATACTACAAGGCCTGACATAACTTTTTCAGTTAATGTCTTAGCAAGATATAGCTCTGCTCCCACAAGGAGACATTGGAATGGAATCAAACACATATTGCGGTATCTAAAAGGGACTACCGATATGGGCTTATTTTATGGCAACAATTGCAGTCCCGATCTTGTTGGTTATGCTGATGCTGGGTATTTATCTGACCCACACAAGGCTCGGTCTCAAACAGGTTATGTATTTACCTGTGGAGGCACTGCCATATCTTGGCGATCGACTAAGCAATCAATTGTGGCTACTTCATCTAATCATGCTGAGATAATTGCTATTCATGAAGCAAGTCGAGAGTGTGTGTGGTTGAGGTCTATAATACATCTTATTCGAGACAAATGTGGTATGAAATGTGACAAACTACCCACAATTTTGTATGAAGATAATGCAGCATGCATAGCTCAATTGAAGGGAGGATTCATAAAAGGAGATAGGACAAAGCACATTTTACCAAAGTTATTTTTCACACATGATCTTCAAAAAAATGGTGATATTAATGTGCAACAGATTCGTTCAAGTGATAATATGGCTGATTTGTTCACAAAATCTTTACCAACGTCAACCTTCAAGAAGCTAGTGTACAAGATCGGGATGCGAAAGCTCAAGGATGTGAATTGATGCTCTCATCAGGGGGAGTTAATGCGCGTTGCACTCTTTTTCCCTTACAAGGTTTTGTCCCACTGGGTTTTCCTTGCAAGGTTTTTAACGAGGCAACCAATAGGCGCATTTCTAAACATGTGTACTCTTTTTCCTTTTCTAGAATTTTTTTCCCCATTGGGTTTTATTTTAGTTAAGGTTTTAACGAGGCACATTATCTGTTGAATAGACATTCAGGGGGAGTGTTATAAATAGAATCCTATTTATGGTGAATGTCCATATTTAGAGAGATTCTAGGGTTTATTACTTGGTGGCTAAGTCACCATCTCCTTATAAATAGAGGGTTCTATTCCATTGTAATTCATCCCAAGATTCAATAAGAATTTCCTCTCTCTCTTTCTCTGCAATATTGCTCTTGTTCTTTTATTATTTTATAACAAAGTTGGGATTGTCCAACTTATTGCTTTTGACTTGTTTTAAGCAGTTTTAAACTTATTTTAATTATTTTCTGACTTTGTCAAACATGAAAAAACTAAAAAAAAAAAAAAACTTAAAAGCCGATTTGACTAGCTTAAAAGTCAATCCAACCATCCTCTATTTTTATTGAGGGCAACGTGCTTAATTTTTCCTTAACTTAAAACACGTGTACATATTTTAGACACAGTTGATAAAAAGACTTTTTCTAATTTTAACTTTTTTGATAACTTGTATTACCCGTTAAAAATATTAATTTCAAGAGAAAAATTCTTTGCAAATACCCTGTAAATAAAATAATGAGAATTGCCGGGTCAAACTTATATAAAACATTCGGAAAAAATACCATATTTGTGTGAATGGGCAAGCAAAAATATAGGGGAATAGAAGGGAACAGCTTAATATATGGTAGCTTCGTAAAATGATACAAGTCAGTAACGTGGATCTACGTGTCAATCAGATCCATATCAGACATACCTGGCAAGCATAACAGAGCCAGGGCTTCTATATATGAGCTGCTAAATTCATCCATTTTCACGTGGTTTTCAATTCTTTCTATTCCAACTCAAAAGTTCCGTGACCAACTCCTCTTCTCTCTTTTAACATCCACACATACATTCATACCCCTCTTAGATCTTTTCAGCCTTATCTGTTTGCTAATTCTTTGATTTGTTCATTGTTGTTCCATTTTTTTGTTTTAATTTCTTAATTGAATTTAGAATTTTGTTTGCAAAAAGGAAAAGATGAAGGGAAATACTGGAAACCCATTAGCCTTAACATCCCTGAATCACATCTCCCTTGTTTGTAGATCAGTTGAGCAATCCATTGAATTCTACAAGAATGTTCTTGGTTTTGTGCCTGTTAGGAGGCCTGGATCGTTCAATTTTAATGGCGCTTGGTAATTTCATGCCACTTCAAATATTTCCTTTTCACGAGTTATTAAATTAAGAAAAAGAAGATGCATATAACATGATTTTTTATCATTTAATTAAGATCCTTTTTCGAATCTTTAGTTTACCAATTGTTTATCATATTTGTATGTATTTATTGGCATTTCTTGTATGGCAGGCTGTTTAGTTACGGAATAGGGATTCATCTACTTCAATCGGAAGATCCTGAGAAAATGCCAAAGAAAACTGAAATCAATCCCAAAGATAACCATATCTCTTTCCAGGTAATTTCTAGTTCCCGTTAACATCAGCAGAGGCGGATATAACTGATGTCCAATGGCTTTAACTGAATTCGGTATATATAGTAAAATTCTGAATTTATGGTTTCAAAAGTATAAAGAGTTCAGTATTAATAAACGTATGCCGGTGGTTGTTAAATTAGTTGATATTTATGAACAGGGGTTGTGTACTGAGTATCTTTATACATGGAAATTTTGTTAATTAAACTTTCGTTGTGTATGAGCAGTGTGAGAGCATAGATGCAGTGGAGAAGAAGCTGACAGAAATGGGAATAAAATACGCGAGGCAGTTAGTGGAAGAAGGAGGCATATATGTGGATCAATTATTTTTCCATGACCCAGATGGTTTCATGGTTGAGATTTGCAACTGCGACAACTTGCCAGTGATACCGCTGGCTGGTGAAATGGCTCGGTCTTGCTCAAGGGCTAATCTTCAGTTGCTTCAACCTCAGCAATCGCAGCAGCAGACCGTAGCACAAGTCCCAGTGATCAAGCCTTAAAAAGGAGAGCTTATTTTTCAGTGTCACATACTTTGTACTCATCTTCATGTAGCAGGATCGACACTTGATTAATTACCTGAAGATGTTTCTTACTAGTATTTGTTTTTAGCGACTATTTTATGTGTGTTTGCGTCTTTACTCAAGGTTGTTGGTAATAAGACGAATTGGCAATTGTCCAGATTTGGAGTTATGTATGAGCTGGTCTCACTGATTCCTTAACTTGTTCGGTTTTTTCTGAGTCTTTCGGTATATAAAATACTTACACTTAGGATACGTCATGCATGCACCGCTTCTGAATCAGACTTTTGGAAAGAAGAAGAAAACAGAAATACTGCTTTGTCTCATGCAAGTCATCCTGGGACGAAGTTAAAATATGAATTAATGGACGGTAATCTCATGTTGCGTATTGCTAATTTGATTAATCAGAAAAGTCCAAACAAGCAGGTTGATCATGTCACTCCCATCACTATGTCTGTCTCACCCGAAAAGGAAAAATCACCAATAGCAACTAATTATTTAAATTAAGCACGGTTTCTTTACCTAACAATGCTGAAAATAAACCAGAGCCACAAAATCAAGTGTAGTAGTTCAATCAGGATATTATGTTTATGTTGAGGCTCCCCTTTCCTAATTCTGCATGACTTCTAATAACAGGGCCAACTGTTGCATATATCACATGACAACGTCGGACTAGCTAGGCTAGTGGATTCCCAATCAAAAAAATTATAAAACAATGGCCTTTTTGGGTGGTTTTAGCTTTTGACCCTAATTTGCCCCTGGGCCGAACTTCAAGAAAAGTTACTAAAAGTTTTATCTTACCGCATGGACAGAACTTCAAGCCATCTATTTTAAGGGCTATTTCAGTGCTTCACCCATTCCCAATCCAACAATCACTTGTAAGCTCGAATCCATCTCTGTTTCAATTTCCAGCAAAGCTGTTTCAACTCAACGGTCCTCCAGCAAGATTTGAGTCGAAAGAGATCCTTTATTTTTTTCACGTCTTTCGATCGACTCAAAAGCAAGTCACACTAATATAATCTAATCAATCAAATTCATGGATGGAGTAGGATTGGAAAGAGCAAATGCCATATCACTCATTCCAGTATATGTTTTGATATACAACAGCTATAGTATAATTCTGTACAGTACGTCATGGACTGACGTGGAAGAAGTTGACAACGCCAATTAGGCATGAGTCTAGATCGAGTGGATTTTTCTCGTAAGGGTAAAATGTTAACTCAAAAAGTTAATCAAGGCTTGCATAAATTTCAAGAGTAGGAAGAACGACTATCATCATCCTATTCCAAACTGAGCAACATTTTTCTAACTCCCTTAAATAAATATTCCTAGTTTTGGGCGTTTATTTATACTGTGTTGTTATAAGAGACTCTGTTCTTCGGCTGCCCTGAACATGAGAGGCAAAGCACTCTAATCTATGCCATCATCAACATCTTCTACCATAGGTACGAAACAAGAAGATGAACGGTTGAGTATATAGGGTGATTAGGAGCATAAGCACTATGAAGAGATCGATGTTGTCGCTAATTTGCTAAGTCACAAATGAAGGATAAACAAGGAATTTGATGAGTTTGTCCTTTTATCAAGTTTAGCTAGTAGTAAAACATGATTCTAATTATAAGAAGAATGTTACTAGTAAAATCTGTAGTAATTTTGAAATTGCAGCCAAATATGAATAAATGCTATTCATAGAAGAACATCAAATGTACAAGATTTGCTTGCCGATAGTAAAGGAACAATATCAGCTGCTGCTTAATATCATATCTAACAATATCAGTAGCTTGATTTCAGATTTAATTTTATTCCAAAGATCTGATTTTATTTTATGATTGTAATCTGTTAGGATTAGGATTGCATCTTTATAATTTAATGTTTTTCCTTTCACCTTACCTATAAATCTGGTATTCAATTCCCAATCAACTGTATAAAAAGGAAATCATCATAATACAACACACGCAACTTTCACTCATTTATCTCTATCTTTGTTATGGTATCAGAGCCTCTTTAACACTCAAACGAGTCAGTCGATCATCTTCATATCAATGGATAAAACTCCTCAATCTGCAACTCATGCCACCAACTCTTCAAACTCCAAGCCACAAATACAGTGCCAATTGTGTGGAAAGTTTGGGCATGTGGCAAATGTGTGCAGATCCAAGTCTCACAATCACTTTAAAACTAAGGCGCATTATGCTACTCAAACCGTGACCAACACCAACCCTTGGATCCTGGATATCGGAGCCTCTCACCATATCACTGCTGACCCACAGACTTAAGTCACACCACATGACTATTCTGGTTCCGAAGAAATCTCAATGGGTAACGGTAATAAGATCCCAATTACACATACAGGATCATCTATTCTTCAAATTGATAACTCTTCATTTTTCCTTCGTAATATTCTATGTGCACCCTCTATTAAAAAGAATCTGATCTCTGTCTCTAAGTTTTGTAAACAAAATCAAACTTCTATTGAATTTTTTCCTTTTCATTTTGTTGTGAAGGCACTGAAAACCGCGGCACCATTGCTACGCGGCCAGAATAGGGATGACTTGTACGAGTGGCCAACTACAGAGCATGCAATTCAAACCAATCCACCAAAAGCTTATTCAGCTAGTGTCACTCCTTCTCTTACACTATGGCATCAAAGATTAGGACATCCAAATAACCGTCTTTTAAATTGTATCCTACATAGTTGTCATTTGCCTTATTCCAGTGCATCTAAGTTAGATTTTTGTAATTCTTGCTATTGCAATAAAAGTGTCACGACCCAAACCGATGGGACGCAATGGGCACCCGGTACCTTACTCAACCGAGTACCTACGTAATGTATCTTTTCGTGTCATACTATCATAGATAACTAAGCCGGAAGTCTGCCGTGAGATAAGCAGGGTACAATATGTAATACCAACTTATACATAAGGCATAAGGGCCTATGAGACCAAAATAACTACTCGTATACTGAACATAGGCCGACAAGGCCATACAATCTTTTACGTACATGACATCTATCTACAAGCCTCTAAGAATACGTAATTTTCATAAAGGTCGGGACAGAGTCCCGCCATACCAAACAATACACGTCTAAATCATACTAAGCAAACAAGCAACTCCGAAGCAAATGGAGCGCACCAACATCTTTCGCTGAGTTGGTAGCCTACTTGGAGGGCTCTCGACCTACGTATCGGGACCTACGGGCATGAAACGCAGTGTCCCCAAGCAAAAGGGACATCAATACGAATAATGTACCGAGTATGTAATGCACATAAATAAGTACATAACAGGCATGGAAGAAATATAGAGTAAATGACTCAACCTGTATGTCTGGATAACTCCGTAAATCATGAAACAATTATAGTATCATGCATATGTGTATGAATGTCATGTCGTGCATAGGTACATGTTTCATAACATCATCAGCCTCTGAGGCATTCCATCATATCATCTCGGCCACCGTGAGCAAATCATCAACGTATACCAGCTGATCCGGTGGTGATGCGTATATAACGCCGTAACCTTTTCCAATATCCCATATAAATATAATATACATATATACGCATATATAATGCTATCTGGTCATGGGTCAATGTACATGTATAAATGCATAAGAAATACGTTAATAAGATTTTCTCAGAATGCCATAAAATCTATATGCCTTTTGAATAAACTTTATCAAATACGTATTTTTCTGAAACCCATGAACAGAAGATATAATAATAATCCATATGGGGAATCAAAAATATATACATGGAGTCATTTTGTGAAAGTTTTTTATTTTACTTGCTTTATTTGTATTATTTGGATCATGCCAAAAAGAAAGAAGGGATAGCCTTGACATACCTGAACCAATACTCTTGACAATCCTTCTAACACACGCCAATCGCGACGAAACACATAACGGTGAGATCGAAATAGGGAACAATCCGTATGATATTCTTGAGAAAGATTCCACCATACTTCCTTAGAATCGCAAATCCCACGTTGCTATAATATTAAATGGTGTTCGTATGAAAGGTTTGAAGCAACCATGTTGCTATTGTAAACTATTACCCTTACTGAAGCTTTCTTTCCTAATGTAGTAGATGAGAGCAATTTTGTTGTAACTTTTGTATGAATCACGTTACATTGCCAATTTTGTATGAATCTCTCATTAATGAATTAGAGAGACTTTTTTGTATGACTCACGTTACAAGGCCACACATTTTGCCTAATTGTGCCACCTATATTCTAGCCAAAAGAATCACCCTTAGGGGTTTAGTTGGCTGCCACGTTGGGGTAGTGTCCCCCACAATATTTATCCATAATTTTTAATTACCTTGCTAATCTTCATCTAAAAATCAATGATTAACCAATCCACATAATTAAGAATTATCTCAAATTACTTAAAATATTACTTACTTCCAACACACTTTATACACCTTATTATTATGGCCATGTGGTACCTTGTATGGTATTAGTCCATAAATACCGAGTGGTTTAGCTCGGACCGTATTTTATCCCAAATTGCCAAGCTTCGACGAAATTCATTTTCTTCGATTTGCTTACCCTCTCATCTTCACGAATTTACTTATCCCTTGTTTGAAATAGCATAATACTTAATAATCTCATTCCCGAGCTTGCATCGATTAACTTTACGACGAAACCTTAACGTGTGAAAATGCGGGATGTACCATCTCATTCCCGAGCTTTTATCAATTCACTTATGCATACTTTCATGTACAAAAATATGGGGTGTAACATCATTCCCCCCTTTGTAACATTCGTCCTCGAATGTTGACTGATGCACTTATCATTTTCATAACTTATGTTTTTCGAATACTTTAGTACTTTCCTTTCCTTCTAGGCAACCGTTCTATGAATAATTCCGAGGTCTATGGTATTCCCCCCTTTAGTCTTCTTTCTCATACCATGACTTGTGACCGAAATCTTTCCAATCTCGTAACTGTTGGTACCTCCTGTCATGCAGCATGTATGACTCTGACTTTGTAAGTGCGCCTATGCGACTCTTCTCTCCTTTCCCGTCCAGTTTTTAGCCAATCTCTATGCCTCACTTTGTAAACATATACAGAGCTTGACAAGATGTCCCTCTGGGCATCTATAGGTATGCTTGAAGTTCTTTGCTCGGTACTTTTTTTGAACTTACGAATATTGCTATATTATCCATTCGTATGACTTTACTGCATCTAGGTAGGTCATACTAT